TACCTTTATAAAAAAACATTTTATATGAAAAATATTATGAATACTGAAAAAAAGATGTAGGTGGCTTAATTTTCTGAGCACAAGTGTACATTGTGGATTCCATATTCTGTCGTGATAAAAAATTGTCATAATAAAAACGGTTTACTATCCAAATGAATGACTTTTATTTATGCCTAGATATATAAAAATTTGGGCGTGCGACTTGTCCAACCTACACCGAAGGTTCCTCAAAAAACTTGTAGGTTCGAAGAAACGGAGTCGTTTAGAGTTCACCCAAACGACTTCACCAGAGCGCCGTCGTAACGACGTCGTTTCGAGTTCACCCAAACGACTTCACCAGGGCGACGTCGTAACGACGTCGTTTCGAGTTCACCAAAACGACTTCACCAGAGCGCCGTCGTAATGACGTCGTCTTCGCCCTGTGGCAAATTGTGAGGTTTCAGTTTTGTATACATGAACTACGCATGATTGTGTTAGTGCATGTGGCACATGCAAACAAAACGAAATAGAAAACATGTTGTCTATGTGTGCGTGTCAGTCCACCGTCAATCCGCCATTTTCGCGGACTGAAATGAGCGAGGTAAACTCGAACTCTCTTCCCCTCTTATACACACAAAACCGGTTTTAGGCGGACTGAGCAGTCCAGTGTGCGGAGGCCCCATATTCACCTAGATGAATGTGAGGTGCGATGACGTAATAAGATGCTATGTGATGTGACGTCAGGTAATGCGATGAAATGTGATGTGATTTCATGTGATGTAATGTAATAGGGTGTCATGTTATGCCAAATGATCTCATATCATCTGATGCTCTGTCATGTGTTGTCTCATCATGTGTATAGATAACAAAATCGGTAGAAGCATAGATAAAAATGTCACTAACAAAACCGATAAAATGATCGATAATAAATATAGATAGCACAATCGATAACAATATCGATAACAATATCAATAAAAATATCGATAACAAAATCCATAAAAATATCGATAACAGAATCGTTAAAAAAATCCATAACAAAATCGATAAAAAATCGACAACAAAATCAATAAAAATATCGATAACAAAATCGATAAAAATATCAATAACCAAAATCATTATTGTTGATCCCAAATCGGTTAAAAATATCAATAACAAAGTTGATAAAAATATCGATAAGTCCGAGAATACCGAAAATCCCGAAATAGTTTCCAGCTTTATAATTACCTGTATTTTAATCTTTCCTCTTTTATCTTCCTCTTTACTCTTATTGGTATCCTCATCCTAATCTGTTTCTTAATATTTAACTTTGTTTTTACCTTTATGTTTATCATTTTCATCATCTATGTATGTACATACATATTCCCCTTCACCTTTGACCTTATATGAGTAAAGTGTTTAAATTTACCTTGATCTTAATTTTTGCATTTATTTTTATTTTTACCTTCATCTTTATCCTTTTCTCTATCTATTTACGTACTCACCTTTACTTTCATTCTTCTATTGGTCTTTATCTAGGTCTTATTCTTTAACCTTTTATTAGAACGTTTTTGATAATTAATACCATTTGCATACATTTAAAAAGCACCGGATGGGACCATTTCCATGTGAAGCTTCCGTGTGCAATTTCCGTTTCACTATTTTCGTGCGCAACTTCCGTTGAATTTGCCAATTTACTTCCAATCAACCAACCGCCGCTAAATATGTTTCACTACAAAAACTTTTAGGAGAACTACTATCTGTTATCGGATGATTCCGGGTGTCAAAGTCCTAGCGTGTGGGGAAAGTTTTTGATCGATAGTCACTAGGGAGTGACCACAAACGATTCATCTTCGCCCGGTTTAAGCAGCTAGCAACTTCCGGTGTTTACACCACGAATCCAAATGAATCTTTTAATATTTTGCTCTCCTTGCCTGTAGTCAATTAAATATCTCTCCATCTAACTTAAAGTTAGCTCAAATATGTAAAACAAAATTGCAACTGCAAAAAATAAAACACAACAAATAAATGCATCTTAAAGAGAGTTAAGAAAATACTTACATATGTATGTCGAAAACCACAGCGGACAAGATGCGCGCTTTGCATTACATTGAACTCAGCTTATTTACACTTACAGTGTTTTCTTTTCTCAACGTCTTCACATGCTTATTGTGTGCTATTTCTTTAAAATGTTGCACTCTGATAATGTTGCCACATAGGAGGGCGACATATTTTTCGAGAAAAGAAAACGCCATTAGTTAGGTTATCATAGTTAACTAGCAGTGTGTTATTTACGAAGTCGACTACCGATCCGGTTATGTGTAGGTGTGCTATGTCACAAACACTTGTGAGCAAAGCGTGGCTTAGAATCCATATAAGTGCACTTACATATTTATGAGTTCATAAAGTGAAATCATTGTACATACTTACAAATATCAATAGATGTTTATCACTTATTGATGTAAACACAGACATAAAAGTGCCAGTGTGGCAATAAGAAAAAATATGTCCATGCAATAAATTCGAAATGTCGAGCGCTTAAGAGCACTTTAGTGAATTGCACATGGCAATGTTGATTTTTTTTTTTTTATATCAATGGTGACAACATACGATCGAATGCATTGATTTGACGCCTGCTTTTGTTTAAGTTTTTCTTGCGTATACACAGTTGTTTATTTCTATTATTTTGCGACGAATCGTTAACCTCGCTCTGTATATATTTTTTTGACGGGTAGCTAAATGCTCAGGATGGTTTTTTTTTCTTCAAAAATGTAACCTTAACTTTGAGCTTTTTTTTTTGTAAAGGAAATTGTGGGAATTGACTTCGGAAATGGGTATTTTGTGACCATTACGAATCAGAAAAATAAGTGGTTGTGTACGCCTTTGCAGATTTTAATATCACCAAATTGGAATATTTTAGAAAACGTACAGAGATTATAATATAATAAATAAAAATATATAATTTAAATACTTAAACAGCATCGCTCTCACCCACTTTTGTGACAAAAATTAATTTTGAACAAACAAGTACCTCATTTAAAAAATATATTTTTCATGATCTACCTTCTGTTTCAAAAAAAAAATTAACCCTTGACGACCGATAGGCTTAAAGGGGTCATTTTAAAATTTGTGTTTTTATTGAAAAAGTTTAAATGCAGATTTTCTTCTAAATATTTAAATTAAAGAAACAAATCCATTTATTTTGAAAAAATATTGCCAAATTTTATTAATTTCATTTCAATAGTGTTATTGAGCTTTGTACCACGATTTGTCTGTTAGCAAATTATTAATTTTAATTCAAAGTTGGAAAGGTCTAAATTTCTAAATTTTTCTGCTGAAAAGTTAAAATAAGCCGCCTTCCAACAAAAACTCATAAAAATAACCAATAGTGCATNCAGATTTTCTTCTAAATATTTAAATTAAAGAAACAAATCCATTTATTTTGGAAAAATATTGCCAAATTTTATTAATTTCATTTCAATAGTGTTATTGAGCTTTGTACCACGATTTGTTTGTTAGCAAATTATTAATTTCAATTCAAAGTTGTAAAGGTCTAAATTTCTAAATTTTTCTGCTGAAAAGTTAAAATAAGCCGCCTTCCAACGACAACTCATAAAATTACGAATAATGCAGCGTAAAGACGAAAATAAGAGTAATAAGTAGGTTTCATCAGATTATATAAGCCAATTCATTGCAACTAAAAGAGAGCAAATCCTTGAAATAATAATTCTTATTACAAATTCAACAAAAATAAATTGTTTAATATTTTCGCAGATCGCACCGCATTTATTCGCTATGAATTGGCCAGGGCCATGAATCGCTTCAATACAACCACCAACAAAAGCTCCGCTCGTGCCATTAATCCACGCTTCTTTCTAAATCCCAACGTTTTACTCAATCCAACTCAGCTGATGACATTCGAGGTAAGTGGAAAAATTATTTTATTCATATTTACATACAAAAACAACAATGACATTTTGTGCAACGTTGCTGAATTCCTCCCCGTTCTGCTGGCTGTAGAAAATCTTGTTTGAGCTTCTTTTGCTTACAATTCTCAAATTGAATTCACTTATTCCGACTGTTTGTCAGCATTGTCAGGCAAGTAACGCATATTGACAAGCGTGCTTGATCGCGTAAAATGCATACTTTATTCTCTGCCACGCTTGGCAATTTAGGATTCGAAGTAGAGAATAGGTTGCGCTGACGTATACGCAATTTATTGCCGCACTTCAAAGTGCTTGCTCTCAAGCAAGTGGCTTACATCGAATAGAAACTAAGTATGCGGTGACATTGAATTAATATGGACGTTAACAAATGCTGTGTTAAGTGTACTTTATAACTTTTACCGTTTTTAAATGGCTAATGCAGAAATGTTACGTCCTACTCGTGTTAATGCAGTTATTTAAATTAGCCTGTAGGGGGTTACTGTTGAAAACAAAAAATAAATAAATAATTTTAAAACTTTATTGGTTTGCTGCGTAGACAGAACTAGCAAATAACTCATAAAATTTCTTGCAGAAGTTTCCGAAGTCTGCAAAGTTTTGCTGTTTGCGAGTGACAGGGAAGTTGGCATTCATTTGAGTAATCAGAGCAAATAACGAGCGAAAAATCATAGGCGGCGGCATTAAAATAAACACTAAAATATGATGATATGAGTAATTTTCTTAAAGATTGCTTGCGGTTTTATAAATCCTGAAACTAAATATTCTTTCCTTGCTTACAGTCAATTTCACGAAAGCAATTTAAGTGAAAAATGATTTAAATTTTTTGAATTTTATGTGTTNATTCATTGCAACTAAAAGAGAGCAAATCCTTGAAATAATAATTCTTATTAGATATTCTACAAAAATAAATTGCTTAATATTTTCGCAGATCGCACCGCATTTGTTCGCTATGAATTGGCCAGGGCCATGAATCGCTTCAATACAACCACCAACAAAAGCTCCGCTCGTACCATTAATCCACGCTTCTTTCTAAATCCCAACGTTTTACTCAATCCAACTCAGCTGATGACATTCGAGGTAAGTGGGAAAATTATTTTATTCATATTTACATACATATGTATGTATACAAAAACAACAATGACATTTTGTGCAACGTTGCTGAATTCCCCGTTCTGCTGGCTGTAGAAAATTTTCTCAAATTGAATTCAGTTATTCCGACTATTTGTCAGCATTGTCAGGCAAGTAACGCATATTGACAAGCGTGCTCGATCGCGTAAAATGCATACTTTATTCTTTGCCACGCTTGGCAATTTAGCATTCGAGAAATAGAATATAGGTTGCGCTGACGTATACGCAATTTATTGCCGCACTTCAATGTGCTTGCTCTCAAGCAAGTGGCTTACATCGAATAGAAACTAAGTATGCAGTGACATTGAATTAATATTGACGTTAAAAAATGCTGTGTTAAGTGTACTTTATAACTTTTACCGTTTTTAAATGGCTAATGCAGAAATGTTATGTCCTACTCGTGTTAATGCAGTTATTTAAATTAGCCTGTTACTGTTACTGTTACTGTTAGGGTTACTGTTGAAAACAAAAAATAAATAAATAATTTTAAAACTTTATTGGTTTGCTGCGTAGACAGAACTAGCAAATAAATCTTAAATTTTCTTGCAGAAGTTTCCGAAGTCTGCAAAGTTTTGCTGTTTGCGAGTGACAGAGAAATTGGCATTCATTTGAGTAATCAGAGCAAATAACGAGCGAAAAATCATAGCCGGCGGCATTAAAATAAAGACTAAAATATGATGATATGAGTCATTTTCTTAAAGACTACTTGCGGTTCTGTAATTCCTGAAACTAAATTTGTTTTCCTGTTTTACATTCAATTTCACGTAAGCATTTTAAGTGAAAAATGATTTTGATTTTTTGAATTTTATATGGAAACCGACAGAAAATAAAAAAAATCATTTTCCTTTTAAATTGCTGGTGAAACCGGCGGCTAGAAAATAGTAACAAAATCATTTTAGCTTGTTTAACAGTTTTTCACTTTTAACTAAAGTTTGCTTGTTCATTTCCTAAAGTATTCAAACCAACTGTATGAGGCATTTGTGGGATGTATCTTGAATTATTTTTTGTTTGACGATAAATATGCTTTTGAATTCTACGATAAAAAGTTCAGTGGCAAATTTTTAAGGGGTTAAAATATTCTCTAAATCACTTTCTCTCAATTTTAACGAACCCAGCTTGAAAAAGCTCCACAACGCGCTATATGCATGCAAAAAATTGCTAAGTATTCGATAGTATACAGCCATGGTTAGATTATTATTACTCTAAGATGCTCTGAAATGTCGTGGAAGACTTCGAGAAAACGGCCATATCTTGAGCCAGTAGAAAAGCTACAGCTTCTGGCTGGCAACCCCCTCTTTAACGGCAGCGCAGAAAATAACAACAACGGCTGCAATAGAAATGTTACTAAATATGCCGCCAGGAAGAAGTTTCAATACCATAAGACCAGGTTAGCCTTTTTGAGGCTAGATTTAGTAATTATATGTTTGCTCTAGCCTCGGAATTCTAGGTTTAGCTTCGAAATATATTTTTTTTTTACACTGAGAACACACACTGAGAAAACAAACCGGTTTTCTAGAAATGTAATCAACTTTTGCAGAGAACTACTCCCTTATCCTCATCGTTCATCGTAATCTTTGGAAATTCGAGCAGCCATGTTGAAAGACGACATGAAAAGCTTTTATTTATGAACACTTTTGGGCTGGACCTTACCTTTGGAAGCTTTATTAAAAGCATGCGGAAGCATACGAGAAGCTGCTTTCTTCAAAGAAACGGATGTTAAATAAAAGAAGAATTGAATCATTTATGTCACGGTGGAGAAAATTTATATGATTGTTATGACGTATTTCGTGAATATTTTCCCTTCTAAGAAAAGCGGATTTAGAAGGCCTGAAACTTCCATACAAAAAAAGGAGTACAGAGTCCACAGCACGGAAGGCCTATTACTTTAAGAGATCAATAAAAATCCCTTTAAGGCCACTGGGAAGTTTGCCTTGAAGTTGTATAGGAGCTGTTAAATTTTTCAGCATATAAAAGCAACATTTTTTTGCGATCACCTGGTCACACCGCACAGGACTTTTAATATCTAAAAAAATTAAAAAAAAAAATATATATATTGGGAAATAATGTAACACATTGACCTCAAGCCGGCATTAAAAAGGATTATTTGATTAAAAAAAATTCAAGGGTTCGGTGATAAGCGAACTGCTGAATTTGTATAATATCATGATAATATCNTCTGAAATGTCGTGGAAGACTTCGAGAAAACGGCCATATCTTGAGCCAGTAGAAAAGCTACAGCTTCTGGCTGGCAACCCCCTCTTTAACGGCAGCGCAGAAAATAACAACAACGGCTGCAATAGAAATGTTACTAAATATGCCGCCAGGAAGAAGTTTCAATACCATAAGACCAGGTTAGCCTTTTTGAGGCTAGATTTAGTAATTATATGTTTGCTCTAGCCTCGGAATTCTAGGTTTAGCTTCGAAATATATTTTTTTTTTACACTGAGAACACACACTGAGAAAACAAACCGGTTTTCTAGAAATGTAATCAACTTTTGCAGAGAACTACTCCCTTATCCTCATCGTTCATCGTAATCTTTGGAAATTCGAGCAGCCATGTTGAAAGACGACATGAAAAGCTTTTATTTATGAACACTTTTGGGCTGGACCTTACCTTTGGAAGCTTTATTAAAAGCATGCGGAAGCATACGAGAAGCTGCTTTCTTCAAAGAAACGGATGTTAAATAAAAGAAGAATTGAATCATTTATGTCACGGTGGAGAAAATTTATATGATTGTTATGACGTATTTCGTGAATATTTTCCCTTCTAAGAAAAGCGGATTTAGAAGGCCTGAAACTTCCATACAAAAAAAGGAGTACAGAGTCCACAGCACGGAAGGCCTATTACTTTAAGAGATCAATAAAAATCCCTTTAAGGCCACTGGGAAGTTTGCCTTGAAGTTGTATAGGAGCTGTTAAATTTTTCAGCATATAAAAGCAACATTTTTTTGCGATCACCTGGTCACACCGCACAGGACTTTTAATATCTAAAAAAATTAAAAAAAAAAATATATATATTGGGAAATAATGTAACACATTGACCTCAAGCCGGCATTAAAAAGGATTATTTGATTAAAAAAAATTCAAGGGTTCGGTGATAAGCGAACTGCTGAATTTGTATAATATCATGATAATATCAATTTGCTATAATATCATGACGCACCCCAACAGTTGAAGTTTAATCGCGGCCACACACTTAACAAAAGTGCAAGCTAACAATTATTTTTATTAATATTTTTATTGCTGTTTATAAGGCATTGCCGGCATCCTAAATATTTTTCTCCTTCTGCAGAGAAACCTACCACTTTAACGAATATTCAGGCATTTCTTAGGTACTAGATGAAGTGGCTTTTTCTGTCCGACCTTCGGGATAGCAATCACCCTTAGTCTTCTTTACACCTTGGGTATGTAATTTAAAGAAATGCCGCATCTTAAAATTTCTAAAAGCGGTGCGAAAGGAACCTGTATGCTCTTCTGTGGCATGGCTAGGAGGATGCTACTGACCATAAAATGAAACCAATTTCCTCGTCAATTTACAAAATTGACCATTATGTGTCTAAATATATTAGGCAAAAAAGAAAAACGAAAAAAATTTATGCAACACCTTTTCAGCAAATTTTCACACATACCCAAGGGATTTGTTGTGCGCTGACTTTATTTACCGAGTTAAAGGAAAATTCAAAGTTTTTTGTCAAAGTTAATTCTTGATAAAGCAGGAATGACATATTTATTCCTATTTTATGTACGTATGTACATATATGCTTTTGTATCAAACCTGTTGTAGACGTTGCATAACAGCATAACACAACACGCAGAATACCAAATGTGGCAGTGGGCAGGACATACAGCTTCCCGTAAGCATACCGCCGACAGCAAGACGCTTAACGTAAGGATACAATTTGAAACTGTGTAGCTTGCAAGCGGTTCAAGACACGTGCAGATCGACAAAGACACACACACGCTGTCCGGCACAAACGCACGCACGCACGCCCACACACATCTATTGACGCACAAAATTTACATGATGTAGCTACAAGTTGTATAACTTGTATGACAATTTCTCCAAAGGATAGAATAACCCAAAGGTACAGATATGGGTTGGTCATAAGAAAATTAAGGTAAGGGTGGACAGCGCGTGCCATAGAACGTACCCGGGTGGGGTCACGTAAAAGGCTAGACACATAAAATATTGAACGAAATACGTGGTCAAGCGCGGGCAACCCAAAAGGCAACTATTTATGTAACGCGCTGTAGAAAAAAAGAGGGTGCGCTTATTTCGAATTTCGTACATGAAAAGAAATTTGAATATTTTTGCCATTATGTGCCGAGCTTCCACAGGCATGATGTGTACATACATAAAGATGGCTCAATCCATGCAAAATTTAGACCAAATTTGTTTTTGTGTGAAATATTTATTTTTTTTTTTTTTTAATTTATTATCGAAGAAGACAGCTATTTTTTATTTGATAATGATATTCGAAAATCTCAACAAAAAATAAAAATAAAAAATACGAAATTTTTAACACAAAGAATTATCTATTTTTAAATTGTTTGCAGTTAATAAACTATTTGCCGGAGAAAATCAGTTAAGTGACCAAATGTTCCTAATTACTTCGGCTTTCTACTAGAGTGCGACGAAGATTTAAATAAATAATTGTTTGCATTAAAAAAATTCAGTTTTTGTATATTTAAAATTTTCTTTTTTTTTATTAATTAGACACCGTTTGGTATTTTTTTTTTTTGCGAATAGAAAAACCCAAACTGTAGAAGTTACTAGTTTTATTATGCCTGCGTACCATGATAAAAACATAGCAAGGTAGAACCGTTCTCTTGATTCGTCGGCCATGGTTTTTTTTTGAAGTTTGCCAGCATTTTAAAATCATATAAAACTGAAAAAAAAAAATATGAAATTGTTCAAGATTTTTTTTGTTTGAGATTGGAAATGAGAA